GCTAAATATTGACTGATCTTTATCAAAACAGGCATGCTTATTCTTTGGACCGATTCCCTTCTCCATGTATATATTCGTGATGTTTGGACCATAATAGTATAATCTGGAGCAACCAGAAAATCATACAAAAATAAAGTTTTTGGTCCTTTTCATCCACTAAATGTTAGCCGATCTTTACAAAAAAAAAAAAAAAAAAAATAGGAGTCTTCATTGGCCGGAAACCATCCCTCATGTTAAATTTGGGGAAGATTGATCCATAACTGTGGCCTGTATCGTGTTTCCGAATTATAATGGACAGACGGATGGACACACATGCCTAGATCGACTCAGCTAGTCGAGATATGACAATAGGAATACTTACTTGGGTCTAGGACCAATATTTCGCGTTACAAACTCTGCACAAATCTATAATACCCTGACAGCATAGTTGTGTAGGGTATAATAATATTTTAATGGCCCTAGTGGCCCTATACGCCCGCAATTTTTTACAATGGAAAAATTAGAAATGCGGCTTTCATTATAGAAAAATTGCGGATTCGTCTTTTTTGAACACCTGTTTCTACAGGATCTACCAGATCGAAAAAAATTTAATATGTGTTCATAAAAGAGAAGTTTCCAAAACACTTAACAGTTTTCTGCTTATACCGCGCTTTTTGTGCTAACCTAAGAAATTTCCAATCTGCCCTCGTATTTTGGTATTTCGTTTCGTCCTGCTCTCTATTTACAAGAAAAAAATCTACTAGTCGATTTTTCCAATCCAATTTTTAAAGATGCCATTAAAGGCATTTTGCAATCCATGAAAAATATGATAATAGCTTGGTGCCAAATCCGGACTGTATGGGAATGCATTAAAACTTCCTAAACAAGCTCTCGAAGTTTCTGGCGAGTCACTGTTGGCCAATTCTGACCGTTTCTGGTCAATTGTAAATGGTTTCAAACAGTTTGGTGGTCGATTTTTAGCTCCTGGGCGATGTTACAACTGCTAACATGTCGGTCAACTTCGATCATTTCTCCATTTTTTTAGGCATTTTCGACGACTGGTCTACCTGTGCCAGGTGAATTTTTTGTATCAAAAATTCCTGAACGGAATCTACGAACCAATTTTAGCCGCTTAGCTTGCATTTTCGCCTTTATCAAAGAAAAACTGTAAAATGTACCGAATTTTCTCTTTGTTGACTTTTCATTTTTAACACCCTGTAACTCACAACCGAATGCACCAAACAAAAAACAGAACAGCCATCTGCCGAAAAACTAATAACATTTGTTTCTTTGTCGATATTCTACACAATTTATTCTTTAATAAAAACACCATTATTTTTATCTGAGGACAATTTTCTATAGTCGGACAAATATACCTTGAATTTTTTCTAACATAAAAAAAAATATTCCAAATATTATTTTGCAATATGAAACAATAAAAGGAATTGTTTAAAAAAATACTCAATTTTCTCTAGATTTCAAAATATTTCTACTTTTTATATAATTGTTTATTTTTTCTTTCTTTCGATATATTTTCTACCAAAAAGAAATGGAAAAGGTTTTTGAATTTTGTTTCGTATAATTTAAAAATTCCACATGTTGGCTGAAAGTTTAAAACCGAACAAAGTAACCACTAGTTTTTTAAACGTTTAAACCTAAATATTTTATGATTCTGTCGAATTTTTTGATAATTAAAATTATAAAGACTATTTTATATTACTTTATATATAATATATCATGAAAACAATTATGTTCATATATGTTATATCATACACATCAAACATTAAAAAAAGTGAACCTTCATTATCTCTGACATTATTCATAATCTCTAAAATAAACCCCCAACAACTATCTTAATCATGTACATTCATGCATATACATAAATAATAATAAATCATAAAACTAATCCAATTATAATTTCTCTGTTCTTTTTTGATAATTATCAACAACTCTAATCCTCATGCGAATATTAATTCATATACATGTATGAATTACACAATTAATTATTTCATAACAAACAAATAAATACATACGTACATACATGAAATAATTTATAAACAAAAGGAAAACGATATTATTACAAAATCATTATGTATATTAAAAAACATAAATAATCGAATCGATTTGAACATAAGAAATGAAAATAATTTAAGTCATTTAATATTTACGCATTCTTTATTGTTTTATTTACTTTTTTATTATTATATAGAACTCATATCACGCTCATATGAATGCATTCAATATTTTTTATTATTTCAAAATAAAAACAAATAATATTTTGTATCTCAAAGATAACCACAAAAAAATAAAGAAATGAAAAAGCTTACAATCGAAAACAATGAATTACAAAAAAACAAGCAACAACAACAAAAATACATAAATTAAATGTTGTTTCATTGAAGTTGGGTTTTTGGTCAGGGTGGGAAGAGGTACATGCATCTATTTATTTAAAGAGGGTCCCGTTTTTCCCAGCTTTGTAGATAAAAGAAGATAATCGATATTCAAATGATTACGTTGTTATCGTCAATATAGTTGTATATGAACAGTGTTACCGTTACACTGCATTATTGTCAGAACACATTTTTATCGACGCACGATAAATATGTTAGAATTTACGATATATCGAATATAGTAAAGACAACAATCACCTAGCATTTACCGACATCTAGTGAACAAAATAAACTATAAATAATAGTATTGTCGATAATGCAATTGGTGGCACTCAGTTATCGACTCTGGGAATATAAAAATTTTGTAAACTTCGACCCGTACGTACATTTTATGCCTACCATTCATAATGAGGATGACATTGAAAATACCTAAAATTGACCGGGTCCTTTATATGGGCGATATGTCATGGTAAATTTCTAAGATAAAAAAAAACGAAATAAAGAGAAGGCTAAGATAGACCGAAATTTATATTTTTTGGCAGGAAGAATGAGAACTCAAAATATCAACATAGAGCCTCGGTAAAAAAACATGTATGAAATATTAAAAATATCGCAAATTACGGGGTAGAATTATATGGAGTCTACCTCGAAACTTGTATTAATATTGAGATTTATTTTTAGAGAGTTTTTCTACCCAATGAGAATTCAAATTATATAAGTATAGTGAAATTGATTTTAAGCGTGGTACCGTTATATAGGTTCTATCAAAAAGTGGATTTTATCTGCATACAGGCCAAGATGGGCTATATCGGTCTACGTTTTGGACTAACCCTGATATAACTTTACCCCAACATTTACGGCATTTTGAGTTTTTATTGGTTACCAAATCTCTTCCCTATCAAAAAACCAGTGAACGGAGCAGTATAGTCGGACGGGGCCGATATGATACCCTACACAACTACCACGGAACTCTAACTTTCTGCGGTTCTATATTCTGAAATTGGCAACATTTCGTAATATTTTCACCCACTTGATCGATTATAGGTCAACAGCGCCACTATCTAACCCTGGCATATTTCCCATTTTTTTCTTGAAGTGAATTTTTACGCCATAAAATAAAAACTGGTCACTTTAGGTTTTGGTTGATTTGGCCCTCGGAATATTGACCGATCATCATCTAAACAGTCGCTCTAAGTATTTGATCACATCCCCTTCATCTTGTAAAATATACGATGTGCTGCATATAATAATTGCCTCTAGAAACTAGAAAATCTGACAAAATTAAAGTATTCCGTTCATTGCACCCTCTGAATGAAATCTCAACTTCACCGAAAACTATAGGCGTCGTCCTTGGAGGGGCCATCCCCTTCAAAGAATAAGCACGCCTGTTTTGATAAAGATGGGTGTGGAAAATGACAAAATTTGTATTCTATGCTGAAGGGCATAGATAGTGTGTCTAAGAGGAGTGGTTGGCCTTTAAATGAATACCAATTTTATTGTCGTATGCACACGGATGTGGGAGTTACACGTAAATATTTACAGGTGATTACACATTAAGATATTATTTAATAAGCCATTACCACAGAGCTATGATTCCGCCCTCTAGGAAATATAGATCTGATCGCTTTGAAATGTTCCATGAGGTTCCAGTTATGGCCAAGAACAACGCCTATAATTTTCTGTGATGATCAGACAATAATTTTGGGATGAAGTGGACCGAAAACTTAATTTTTTGTGTTTTTTTTTCGAGTCGACAATTATGAGCCGAACATTAATTACAACACAACCCACGAATATTCAGTACAGCCCCTCTATGGACAAGTAATTAGAGGGACTGTACTGAATATATTTGACCTCTAATCGGGCAAGAGGGTGCAACTATCATGAAATATTGCCCAGGCTCGAAATAAAAATCCGCAGAAAGTTAGAGTTCCGTGGTAGTTCTGTAGGGTATAGTATGGTCGGCCCCGTCCGACTATACTGCTACGCTTACTGGTTTAAAAATATTTTTCATCTAACAAATATGGTGCGTATTTTTTTTTTCATCTACCAAATAATAAAAGTTTTAACTTCTATTCAAGGAACCTCTATTTAATGCGTAGACTTTTTGAAAACAATTTTTGTACTTCTTATTAGAAAATCAAACTATTAAAGTTATTTTTACATAAATTTTCATGATCATTATGCAAAAGGTTCCTAAATTCGACTTTGAGTATTTTTTTATGAGGACAGTTATTCATATTATGGTGCTGATTTGTGTAGGTAAATCAAATCAATCCAGCATCAAAAATATACATATTTAAAATCACGAACCTACCCTCCCTCCTTGTGTGGATTATTTCAGCGCCCCTACGTAATTTTATAGTCTATTTTATGTTTTTTCCTTTCCTCCAAAAGCAAATGAAAACATTTGGTCACACTTTCTATTCTAATTTAAAAATAGAACAGAAACAAAAACAACAAAATTTCTCTTCTCTACGATCCTACACAAACCGCATATGTTTTAATTGGCCACTTCCTATTTTTACGCATTTAGGGGGAGTAGTGTTAGGGGGTGTCTCTGTAGGATATGCAAAAAATTGTCAGCTGCCGAACAATCTCCTAACTTTGACAATTGTATTTCCATTTCAGTTTTTGATTACATTTGTAAAATCTCATTGAGGCGTGTGTTTGGTATTATTCCACATTCCATGTGTAAATCATTTGACATCTCTGTTAGTTCAATGAATGGAGGGGAGGAAAATGACATTGTAATACTTGTGGTTAGAATGAAATGGAAATCAGTGCAATGGACAGATAATTTCCGTTTTAATTCGGAATTCCAAATTCAGCATACATTTAATGTTATATGTAGGGTCTCTATGGACCTCTATTAAAAATTGTCAAGAACAAGTTCTTTAAAAACCAAAACCATGAAAATTAAATTACAATAACTTTTTGTTTTCCCCTAAAAGCGGTAAAAATGGGGAATATTTTGATAAGTTTCTGCAAGGATTTTTTTAACCCTCCAAGGACTTTGAATTCTACATTACAGTCTCTTCTGAACTTGTGGCAAAAGTGTTCAAATTACCAAAAGGCGGCGGGACCATTGTATAGGAGTTTGGTCAAAATATGGATCTATATTGTTAAATTTTGTCTCACTCCATGAATTCGGAATGTCAAATTATAGGGTCAAGGTTAAAACATTTAGAATGTTTGTATAATTTTCGGCCAAAATTATTTTTCACCTTACGATACTAGGAATTTCACATTACAGCCCCTTCCGTTTGGAAAATGTGGCAAAGAACAAACTTTGAAATACCGAAAATGCGGTGAAGCTATTATAGGGAAGCCAACTAAAAGTCTGGATTTATCTTGATAATTTTCTGTAGGTTTTTTCACCCGCCAAGAACGCGGAATGCCAAATGCCCATAAAAACGGAGCGGGATCTGTATGTATGGTCTAGGCTAAAACATTGAAATATTTGGATAATATTCTGTAAAAATTTTTTCACCCTCCGATACTCGGAATTTCACATTACAGGACCTTCGGTTTTGGAAAAGACTTCTATCTGCCTTTCGAGGAATGATTTTCATCTTTAGATACACACAAGTATCTTCAGAGTATTAATGACCAACAGAGAGTATTCTGATAAAGAGGGTCTTATGTCTCTAGAAGTCCATCAGAGGGTCTTTTGTTCGTAGAAGACCATAAAGGGTATTTTGTCTACAAAAAGTTTTCTCTCTACAGAATATTCACAGAGGGTCTTCTGCCTGTGGATGACACACAGAAAATTTTGTCTATAGAAGACACAGAGAGTGTCTTATGTTGATAAAAGTCCAACCGATGGTATTCTGTTGATACAAGACCCTATGCCTACGGAGTATTATTATTGGTATAATAATACCCTCAAAGGTTATTCTATCTATAGAAGGTCCAGAAAGTATATTTTCAATTGAGGAAGTACCGAAGAAGAACCTCATATGTACTCCTGTCAGTAGAAGACCCACAGAGGATCTACCTTCTGCCTGTAGAAGAAAAAACGGAGGGTCTTATGTTCATAGAAGGGTTCCTCTGTTCATAGAAGGGCTCTTCTATTCATAGAAGTTCCACATCATTATCTTCTGTCTATGAAAGGTCCACAGAGTTTATTATATCTATAAAAGGCCAACAAAGAACATTGTTTCCAAAGCAAGTCTATAACGTATCTTCAGTCTGTGGATGATCCATATAAGATCTTGTGGCTATAGGGGACACAAAGAGGGTATCTTTTGTCCGTAGAAGAACAACGGATCTCCTATCTATAGAAAATTAGCTACAGAGTGCGTTATATTTAGGGGGATTTTTTTCTATGTATAGAAATGTAAAAATATAACTCATAGGGTCTCCTGTAGGCATTAGACCCACAACAAATAATGTACATTTTGTCAGTATAAGTTCGACAGAATTACTTTTGTCTATAGAAGACCCACCAGCGTTTTTTAGTTTATATGACCCACTGGAGTGTGCTCTACTCGTCTTCAGAAAAATACATTTTATCCGAAGAAGATCGTCATAATGTTTTCCGCATATAGACGACCCAAAGAGACGCTTCTGTCTGTAGCAGAACCCATATAGGCCATATAGGCTCGGCTGTCCGTAGCAGGCCCACAGTAACATATCTCAAAAATAGTTAGAAGACCCATAGATGTTTTACAAATATGCTACCTATAGAAGACCTTCAGATGACCCCAAAAGACGCTTCTATATGCTGCAGACTCATATAGGCCGTCAGATCGTAGAAGGCCCATAGTAACATATGACCGTCTATAAAAGTCCCACAAATGGTACTTTAATATCCCCAATGAATATTTTGTCTATAGAGTTCCTTCCAAATGTCTTTTGTTTATAGAACACCAGGAGAGGGGTCTTATATTTAATTTTTTTCTGAGGATCTTTAAAATTATATATTCTATCTAAGAAGTCTCTATGTTGGCCTTCTTTGTATACCACCAGAATACCCAACTAATCTACAAAAGACCCAAAATGGCTCAGATCCGTAAAAAGTACTTCATTTCCGGGAGGAGACCACTGGGCATATATGAACCTTTTTTCTGTTGTAAGCACAAACTTATTGTGAAAATACACCTTCGTAGCTGGGGGAACTATGTCGGTGTCAAGGCTTTAATCCATCGTATACCTATTGAAGAACCTTCTATCAATAGAAGTCCCACGGTATTCGATGGAGAACAAGACGAAGGTTTTATCTTGCAAAAATCCGACTTCACACTATTTTCCATAGTTAGTTCTAACTAAGTTCCACTGTACTTGACAAAGGTTTATGTCTTAACTATTCTCCCCCATCGAAATTCATTCTCATTGTTTTGTTGTTGGAAAAACAAAGAAAATCTATGGCGCAACACAACCATCATAGATCAAACCACCAACAAGCTGTGCGTACGGAAACCCAAAATTTCATTGAGAGCTAGACAAATTTTGATTTAGAGTGGCAATGGTGGTGGTGGTTGTGACACGGCGACAACCATAACACCGAATCGGTATCATATCACAACAATATTTTTTGTAGCATGAATGAATGAAAATCGCCTGAATGACTGACTGACTGACTAGATGATTGGTTTGTTGGTTGTTTGACTGAAAGAACGAAAGAAAGCCTTGTTTGAGCGTTTCGTAGAAGTTGTGATCTGGATAGTTGCCTGCTTGTTGCTTATGAGAGAATTCGGCCTTTGGTAGATTCTTATTTTTGGGAATCTATGGATTATTTTGGTGTGTATGAACTGTGGAGGGATAGACAGATGGATTGGATGGATGGATGGGCAAATGAATTAACGCACACGGCCAAATGGTTAGCTGGATGAATAGATGAACGAGCAGACAAACGAACAAACATACAGACAGATGGACGGACGGACTGATGAACGAACGAACGGACTAGAGTAAACTGCGTATTGATAAAATGTTTGATATTCTTTTTTATTGTTGTATTGTATTTCAGCTGGTGCTGTTGTCGTTGTTGTTGTCGTCATTATGCGGTGGTAGTAAAACCATAGCTGACATGGGATTTTTCTGTATGGTAGTTGTTGCTGCTCTTAAGACTGCTGTAAGCAACAACAACAACTTGAGTAGCAGCGGCAGCTAGTTTCTGTAGTTTTGGATTTAGTTTGGAAATAGTTTGCCATTGAATTTTCGGGGGTTCTTAGAAATAGTTAAACTCAAACAAACATCAGTGTGGCTGTGTGCGTTGTGCGTGTAACATTTGTGTGCATTCGGCAGAAGAAAAAAAACGTAGAGAAACTCCAAAAAGAAGAAAAAACAATAACACGCATCAGAAACAAATAATCATTAATAGAGCAATAACAAGATAAATACATTTTGGAAGAATTTTGAAAATAAAAAGAAATAAAAAATAAATATTAAATAAATAAATTTTATAAGTGCCTATAATAGTCATTAAAATATTCGAAAGAAATCAAAATTATAACAAAACAAAGTACAGTTCGTATAATATGGCCAATAATACAACAGCAACAAATACTCCGCATAGTCCGGAAAAAAGTGAAACTTCATTGGAAAATCAAAACTCACAATGTGAAAATGCTGAAACGGATAACAATCATCCCTTAGGAAGTAACAGTGGTAGGACAAGATTACGTCCTGAGGGTAAGTGCGATAGTTATATGGTTTTCAATCAACAAGTCCACATTTTGGGAGACTTTAAAAAACTGTATATTCATTTAAGATCATTTAGAGGTGGTGCTATGCATAGATGTAATATTGAAAACATTCTATCTGTGGAACTAGAACATTATTGCCCACATATTGACCTTAAAGGAGGAGGTACAAAAAGTGGACTTTTTTTCTACAAAATTAAAAATATATTTCGAACAGATATTCTTAAAAATATTTACGCTTAAAAAGGCTGAATTAAAAAAAATCCACATTTTTTTCTACTAAAGAAGAAATAGGTTCTCTGGTCTGTAGATTATCCAATAAGGCCCTCCAAATTTCTTTGGTTTATAGAAAACCAAGAGACGGTCTTATATCTATAATTTTTTACTGCAGAGTGTATTCTATTTGTACAATTATATATTCTATATAAGAAGACTCTCAGATGGTCTTCTATGTATGATAAACTGACCAGATTACCCAACTAACCAAACATAAGACCCACACAATGGCTCAATGGCCCATATACAAAATTTCATTGCCGGGAGGAGACCACTGAGCTTATGTGTGCACAGGGCTAGATTTTTTTCCTAAAAAATCCACTTTCTTTTTTTCTATAAAAGATCCAATGGGTTCTCTGGTCTATAGGTTATCAAATTAGGTCTCATATCGGTATAAGACCTATAGAGGGCCTTATGTCTATGAGGTACCTAATAGGGTATTCTCTCAATAGAAAATTCAATGGGGCTTTTATTGGTATACGACCCACAGAGAGGATTCTGTCAACAGGGAACCCAAAAAGGATATTCTATTTGGATAATACCAACAGTCTATTGAAAATGCTCCTATATAAGAAAACCTACAAAGTGGGTCTACAGAAGACTCAAAGAAGTATTTCTGTCTGTAAAAACGCACATAATATATAAGAACCACAGACGATCGTCTGGCTTTAAAAAAGCCCACAGAGGGTCTTCTATCTGTAGAAGATCCAAAAATGGCATTCCGTTTGAAGAATAACCAACTTGGTTATCCGGTCTGTAGGTTCTCCAATTAGGACTTATATCGGTATAAGACCCATAGAGGGCCTTATGTCTATGAGGTACCTAATAGGGTCTTCACTCAATAGAAGATTCAATGGGGCTTTTATTGGTATACGACCCACAGAGAGGATTCTGTCAACAGGGAACCCAAAAAGGATATTCTATTTGGATAATACCAACAGAGATTTTCTGTCTATTGAAGACGCTCATATATAAGAAAACCTACAAAGTGGGTCTACAGAAGACTCAAAGAAGTCTTTCTGTTTGTTTTCTGCCTGTAAAAAACGCACATAATGTATAAGAACTACAGACGATCGTCTGGCTATAAAAGGCCCCACAGATGTTCTTCTATCTGTAGAAGATCTAAAAATGGCATTCCGTTTGAAGAATAAAGGTCGCATGTCTATAGAAAAGTCAAGAGGACCTTCTATATACAGGGCTTTCAATTTATTGAATATCCAAACATAAAATTATGACCCTCAGAAGGTCACATGTGAATGGAAGAAGCAAAGATATAATGCCTTCTGTTTGTAGAAGATCCACAGAGGATCGACTGACTATAAAATTTCTGCCGAGGATATTTTGTCTATAGAGATCCCCATATAATATGTTGTCTACAGAAGGCACACAACTCCTCTGTAGATATTTTTAGGAGATCCACTGTATGTCGAAGATCCCAAATAGGATCTATAATCCAAAGAAGTCAAGCTTAAGGACTTGACTTCCTATACTATACTTCTATACACATTAGGCTGATAAAAATCCACGCATCATAAAAAGGAGCATTTCAAATCCACATTTTAAATCCACGCCTTATATGAGGTTTAAAAAAATCTTCACGAAATCACGTCGCATGTTAGGCCTTAAATAATATTCCTTAAAAAATCCACACCTTAGGTTTTTTTTCTAATAAATTAACAAATTAAAAATCCACACCTTGTTTGTAATTTTTTTTTTTATATAAAAATATTACGAAAAATCATAAACATAATTATTATATTATTTATTTTTTTTGTTTTTGAAAAGTCACTGAACTTTTTAGTTCTACCCTCGTAGTCTAACAAGCGGAAATATGTTTTTTTATCACAAAACAGGACATTATCAAAAAAGATCTCTCAAAAAATCATAAAAAAGACAATGAAATCAAATCTGGAAAAAAAGTGTTCCATTAACAAACAAAACCAACCAATATTGTGTGTGCAATGCAAAAATACAAACAAACACATGCACAAAAATTCTTTTATTTTGTTTTAAGTTCAAAAAGAAAACAATGGGAAAACAGGAAAACAAATCCCAAAAACAAAAATTCCATTCACACGCTGAAAAATGTGTGCGTTTTTTGAATGAAGCAATAAAATGCTATACGGAATGTTTGTGATAACGCCACCATGCCCAACAAGTAAACTGTCAGGCTGTGATGCGACCACCATGTTTGATACGACCGACTAATAGAATAACATGCGTGGTTGTTGCTCGAAAATGTTAACAATTTGGGTCATTATCAAATACTAAAAAATCCACGCCTCCTGATAAGCCTTGAAAAAATATTCTTTAAAAAATCCACGCCTCCTGATAAGCCTTGAAAAAATATTCTTTAAAAAATCCACGCCTACTGATAAGCCTTGAAAAAATATTCTTTAAAAAATCCACGCCTGGGTGATAAGCCTTGAAAAAAAAAAATATTCTTTAGAAAATCCACGCCTCCTGATAAGCCTTGAAAAAATATTCTTTAAAAAATCCACGCCTGGGTAATAAGCCTTGAAAAAATATTCTTTAAAAAATCCACGCCTCCTGATAAGCCTTGAAAAAATATTCTTTAAAAAATCCACGCCTGGGTGATAAGCCTTGAAAAAATATTCTTTAAAAAATCCACGCCTGGGTGATAAGCCTTGAAAAAATATTCTTTAAAAAATCCACGCCTACTGATAAGCCTTGAAAAAATATTCTTTAAAAAATCCACGCCTGGGTGATAAGCCTTGAAAAAATATTCTTTAAAAAATCCACGCCTGGGTGATAAGCCTTGAAAAAATATTCTTTAAAAAATCCACGCCTGGGTGATAAGCCTTGAAAAAATATTCTTTAAAAAATCCACGCCTGGGTGATAAGCCTTGAAAAAATATTATTTAAAAAATCCACGCCTGGGTGATAAGCCTTGAAAAAATATTCTTTAAAAAATCCACGCCTGGGTGATAAGCCTTGAAAAAATATTCTTTAAAAAATCCACGCCTGGGTGATAAGCCTTGAAAAAATATTCTTTAAAAAATCCACGCCTGGGTGATAAGCCTTGAAAAAATATTCTTTAAAAAATCCACGCCTGGGTGATAAGCCTTGAAAAAATATTCTTTAAAAAATCCACGCCTGGGTGATAAGCCTTGAAAAAATATTCTTTAAAAAATCCACGCCTACCATTGAAAATTATTCAGATCAAGAATAAATATGAAGTCTCAACGTGAAGCAAAGTGCATGATTACAAAAATTGGTCGAATTTTGGTAGAAAATTTCAAACCTAAAACGGTAACATTGTCATTGGCTTAGGGATTATTCTTTTAGATCAACGTTCACCAAACAGGCGCCCGTGGGCGCTTTGGGAGAGTACCAATACAATCACAGTTCTGTGTTCGAACTCAACATTACTCTCGACATCGAACATGTCGTTTGCTTTGCAATGCTTTAACATATACGATCTTTGCCGAGAGAGCGAAAATTACTCTCCCAACCGAACTATGCGTGTGTCCAACACAATCATAGCAGTTTGCATATGTATTGTTGGCTATCCCTGTTTTAGATACAAAACTGATATCTATGTATTCGTATTCTTACACACACACATACACATGCATGTGATCTAAATGGCCACTTCAACCGGAGAGATAACGAAAAATATCCGATAGTGTTGAAACCAAAACAAAGGCATATCATCTCGTACAACGAACAATACCAATTAGTCTGATCAAACATTATGATGAAGAAAATCAAATGAAGCACAAAACGTATGTTGACAAAAAGGGGAACACCCACAGAACGAAAAATAGTTTTTATACCTATCGAGGGGATACAATGACACTACGTTAACTCATTCATTAAATATGGGTGCATTTAATGAATGAATTAACACGGTGATAGTTGAGATTCCGAAAGTGCAGTGGAACCTTCATAAAATCTGAAATTTAAAAATGTTAAGAAGTTCGTACGTACTAACAATTTTATTCCTTTTGCTATGATGTGGACATTTGTATTCTCTCCGAAAACGAAATACCAAATTCCGACTAATTCGGCTAAGACCTTAAATATGACAAAAAACGAGGTGGCTCCTTTATACCAGGGTTCTAGGCTAAAAAATAAACCTATGTTTAAAAATGTGGGTTAGAAATATTTTCCATACTGAAAAAAGTGGATCTATGTTTAGTTAAAATTGTCTGCGAAAAAGTTTATTAGACGTTTCGAAGACGAAATGTCAGATAACAGTCCTGTCGGTTGGAAAATATGGGTAAATCCTAAAAAACGAAAAATTTACATTATGCACAGGCTGCGATTTCGATTCCATTGATGATAAAAATAAATAGATAAGGCGCATTTAATATCATTCCAAGCTGTAATGGAATAGGTTCCACTGTCCATTCAAATATTTTGATAAACACACATTTATGACATACATATTTTCATATAAATAAAGGCGTGAATGTTTGTGCGACGAAACATCATATCAAAACAACAAACCAACAAACCGATGAATGAAAACTTTCACATAACTTATTCCGAACTTAAATGATAACACATATAACTACCACACAAACATAGGCCTTTGTACGATAGGCCGAGGAGGGAGATGGACTCGATTGATAATTGTTTAAAATGTTTGTACAAATTAAAATAAACTTAATATGAATGAATGGTTCGTGCTACAGCGACAAACATTTATGTTTGAACTATTCCGGGAATTATGTTAATTACTTAAAATATGTTTAATGGTCTTGTAAGAAAAGTGGCATAAATATGTATGGGGTAAGCATTTCAATTTTGTTTTTACACTGAGAACAAAATCCATAAAACCAGTCAGCGGACCTGTATATTCGGACTAGGCCGAACATTTTATACCCTACACAAGTTCTACCGAACTCTAATTTTCTGCGGCAATATTTCGTGATAGTTGCACCCTCTTGCCTGATTAGAGGTCAACAACACCTGTTTCTTACACTGACATATTTTCCGAATATTGCAGTACTGCACTTCTAATTACTTGTCCATATTCCCTTTACGGTGGGTTGTGTTGTTCGGCTTATAATTGTGCCTAAAGATCGACTCGAAAAAACACAAAAAAAAAACGATTGAGCGGAGCAGTATAGTCTGCGGGGCCGACCATACCATACCCTACACAACTTCCACAGAACTATTATTTTTATGTTTATTCTGAGCCTGGGCAAGATTTCGTGATAGTTGCACCCTCTTGCCCGATTAGAGGTCAAAAACACCTCTTTCTTACACTGACATATTTTCCGAATGTTACTAATACATTGCTTTTAATTACTTGTCGATATTCCTGAGCCTGGACAATATTTCGAGATATTTGCACCCATTTTACCGATTATAGATCAACAACTTCACTTTCTAACCCTGGAATATTTTCCAATTTTTTTTCTTCAAGTGAATTTTTACGCCGTAATTTTCACTTTAGGTTTAGTTTGATTTTACCCCCGGAATATTGACCGATCATCATCTAAACAGCCGCTCTAAGTATTTGGTCAGATCCCCTTCACCTTGTAAAATATGTGATGTTCTGCATATAATCAGTTTTCCTGAATGAAATCTCAATTTCACCGAAAACTATAGGCTTTGTCCTTGACCATAATCGGAAGTTCATGTACAATTTCAAAGCTATCAGCGCGACATTTCCGTCCTCTAATGAAGAAAGAGTAATACTATGCATAATTACGTATAACTCCCACATCAGAGTACATGCAGCCATAAGTTTGGTATCAATTTGAAGGTCAACAACTCCTCTTGAATATACTATCAACTTCTCGGCTCTATGTCCTTCAGGAGTAAGTATATAAGCCCCAGAATAAAAATTTTGTAATTTTTCACACAAAAGTCAGGGTCCATTTGACCCGCTAAATATTGACCGATCTTTATCAAAACAGGAATGCTTATTCTTTGGCACGATCCTCTTCTCCATGTAAAATTTCACGATATTCGGACCATAACTGCGGCCTCTGGAGCGACCAGAAAAACCGACATAAATTAAGTATTTGGTCCATTTCATCCCTTAAATATTAACCGATCTTTACCAAAAACAATAAAAAACATATCCTCCATGCAAAATTTGGTAAAGATTGGTCCATAACTGTGGCCTGTATCGTGTTTGTAAAATGATAATGGACAGACGGACGGACGGACACACGTGTCTAACTCGACTCAGCTAGTCCAAAAATGACGATCGGTAAACTTAAAGGTGGGTCTAGGACCAATATTTCGCGGCGTTACAAACTCTAGGGGCTGCACAAAGCTATAATACCCTGACAACATAGTTGTGTAGGATATTATTAAGTTTTTGGTCAACTTCATCCCAAAAAATTATCTGATCATCATCGAAAAAGTTTGGCGTTGCCCCTGACCTGATAACTGGAACCTCATGGAACCTCTCAAAGCGATCAGTGCCATTACCACACTGATCGCTTTGAAAGGTTCCAGGTTACTAAATAATATGTAATATTTAAGTGTAACTCCCACATCCGAGTACCTACGACATTATAATTGGTATCAATTTAAAGGTCAACCATTCCTCTTGCATATACTATCAACTTCTCGGGTCTTCAGAGGTAAATATATACGCTATAGAATACACATTTTGTCATTTTTCACACAAAAGTCAGGGTCCATTTGATACGCTAAATATTGACCGACCAGGCATGCCTATTCCTTGCCAAATCCCCTTTGCCCCGATCCCCTCCTCCATGGGAATATTTAGGCCATAATTGCGGCCTCTGGAGCGACCAGAAAATCAGACAAAAATAAAGTTTTTGGTCCATTTCATCCCCTAAATATTAATCGATCCTTGCCAAAAACAATAGGGGTCTTCAATGCCCAAAACCCATTCTACATGCAAATTTTCGTGAAGATTGGTCCATAACTGTGGCTGTATCGTGTTTATAAATTATGATGGACGGTCGGACGGACACACCTGTCTAAATCAACTTTGTTAGTCGAGATATGACGATCGGTATAGTTAAAGGTGGGTCTAGGACCAATATTTCGCGGCGTTACAAACTCTTGAGGCTGCACAAAGAATACCTTGTCAACAAAGTTGTGTGTAGGGTATAATTACGTTCAACTTTAATCGCATATCATTTCAAATTTTTAAAAAACATATCCTCCATCTGTGTCGAGTCCTTCGGCGTATTTTACGCACTTAATAGGCTCTGGGTCCTTAATATAGTTTCTAAACTTCTTAAAATACCCATAAGATATTTCCCCTCTCCCAGACCATGAACTCGATTTTCTTGCATAGTGTAATTAATAAAAATATTTTATATTTTCAGATATTTCACCCCATGAAACGGCCGGCGTTCGTTATGGCAAGTGCAAATGGTTCAATGTTGCAAAGGGTTGGGGATTTTTAACACCCAATGATGGAGGTCATGAAGTATTTGTACATCAGGTAAAATTGACAAAAAAATTAGAAATATTTCTTTAAAATCTTAGAACAATATTCCTTATTATCGGGATATTGGACCTTATCCTAAAGAAACCCATAAAATTAAAGGATTTAATTGATTTTTAGAGCATTATCAAAATGTCTGGCTTTCGTTCGTTGGGAGAACAAGAAGAAGTTGAATTTGAATGCCAACTAACGGAACGAGGTCTGGAGGCTACCCGAGTTTCAGGGATTGAAGGTAATGAAAATGAAATGTTCATATAATATACGTCAATTTTTAAATAATACTTTTTTTGTTTTGTATTACAGGCAGCGACTGTCACGGTAGTACATTTCGACCACGAAGTAAAAAACGTCATCGCCGGGTACGCTGCTATAATTGTGGTGAATTTGCCAATCACATTGCTTCGAAGTGTCATCTGGGACCTCAGCCGAAACGATGTCATTTGTGCAAACAGGATGATCACTTATTTGCCAATTGTCCAACCAAGAAGGTAAGAAGACAGTCATAGGATATCGAGATTTCAGTAATGAATTTGAATAATTATTTACAGAATCAAAATGCAGATCAATCAAATGCTGAGCATGATACTGGAAATAATAATGAAGCCAATGTTGCCAATGAAATCGAAACCGATCAAAGCTAACAAAAGGAATTCTACTAAAACAAAATGGAATTGAATATGACGAAATGGTTTGGCCATTTTGGTGCCATATCTATTGTATAAAGAGGCTATACGAAACGAATGTACAATTTTAGTTACTTAGAAACTATCGTTTATTACACTATAAGAATTTGTCTTTTGTATTTTATATATTGCAAAATAAATATTTAAATTTGCAACAAAAATGTTAATTTAACAAAAAAACAAGGCTCGCTAAAATCCATGTGAGGACCGTCGAAGTTGGTCGCAATAAGCGAAATCAAATAAAGGTTAGATACTGTCCTTATAACCGTTATAAACTATTTCGACTGTAGAGCAAATTCTGTCGAAAAACGTTCCCATACTCCCAAGAAAACCGATATTTGGGAGGTACTGTAACATTGGGCTATCGTCAAATAGGGACCTCTTTTGATAATAATCGGTAGGAAGCATTGCTACCCAATGGCAATTCAAAATTAAAGGTTATTTGTTTGAAAAAAAAAAACAAGTAGAAAAGTGTCAATCGGTGCTGCCGACAGATATATACTCTTAGCCTATAGATTGTGGAAGTCTTTCAAATTACACATAGGTTTTATTATTCGCTTTAGATAATGTATATGTGTTTATAAAAAAGGAGTGAACCAATGGGTCTCATTTTCGGGATTGATCTAGGTTTGGCAAAAATAATATGTTGTGAAAAATTTGGTTCAGATCCGACATTCCATTCACTTGATATCGGATTTATAACTATTGAAAATTTTGACCATTTGACCAAAAGCAGCGGACTAGATCTAGACTTGGTAAGGATAATAAGAAAGTTCGATTCAAATCGGATGGTTCGTTCTCATAATATTATACAAGTAATTTTTAGCACAATTTTGACCATTTTGTGGGTAAGGTACCCGAAGGAGTGGACCGATATTCTCCATATTCGAAATTAAACTAAGTTTGGGAGAAATATTATGGTGCGCAAAGTTTGGATGAAATCGGTTACTCCCTCCGAGAGTTATCATGCTCACCAGCAGCCAGACGGACGGACGTTTTTAAATCAATGCCAAATTGTCTGAAACAGATTTGGTCCAAAGAAACATGGATGAGGCACATTTTTGCCCTGGAAAAGAGTATTTACCCTCATTAGCCACAAGACTGAGGCTAATATTTGGAAGCACCGTTATGTGGGATTATACCAGATATCATAGGCGCAAGATTTCAAAACTCTATCCTAAATATTGCGTTATGATTTATTGGCCCTCAGGAGAATATTTGGAGGTGTTGCAAACGGAATGATAAATTTAATATACAACCCACCTTATGGTGGAGGGTATAAATCTTGCACTATTGTAGCCTGGAGTCTTTCAATGAACCTGTTATATACAGAAGATACATTAGATTAGGGCCATTTTTATTCTGAAGCGATCCGGTTCTGTTTCGCCCCAAAAACGCAACTAGGTCATCCATTTAGTTCCATAGTTCCTTTAGTTCAATCGTTAATTAGTACATGTCACATAATTCTATCATTGAACGGAGAGATCTAGTGCCGCTCGTTCTTTTTGTTCCATAGTTATTGAGTTCAATCGTTAATTAGTACATGTACCGTCATTCAGCGGAAAGGTCTAGATGAACAAAAATGAACGACTGGAGCAGAAGGAACCAAACCTAGTAACGTCGTTCCTTTTGCGAAGTAGCTCCTTCGAAATCGTACCGGAACGTTCAACTCCACATAATATATATCTAACAGAGGGGATTTTCACTGCCAGCAACTGTAACATAATTACAACTTTCTCTAGATATTAATTATAAAATCGGAACCAAAACTAGGGTTGGGCAATCTAGTTCACGAAAAGGATCGATCTTTTTCATTCCTTTTTTTAAATGGAACTAGTTCCTTAAGGTAGTTCCTTTGCTCCATGTAGTTCCGATTACTAGATAGTTCCTTTGAATCTCTCTCTTTAATCGTTATTTTTTTTTTGTTTCGCCAACATATTTCCGATAGTAGTAAACATGTTGAGCAAAAATTTAATTAAATTCTGTTTAGGAGGATATTAGGAGGAATTCGGCTCAAGGTTAAATAAAATTCTGTATTATGATTTCTGATTTTTTTTTTTTTGTTTTATTTTTATTTTCCAATATTTCGACTGTCTTCGACAGTCATCTTCAGGGAAATACTAAAAGATACAATTATTTAATAAGGTTTTCACAGAATAATATAACACAAATATTACGTTTTGAGAGAAGCTACAGGTTTGTTACACCGCCTATACTAAACTAAACTCTAATTCGTCTGTGCTTATGAACTAAATTTCTATACATATGTGCACAGTGGTCCGTGTCAGTCTTGTAATTCATTCTCTTCTCTTGTGGTACATTTATTATATTAAGCATTTCTAAAGTAAATCGTCGTTTGTAATTGTTTTCTTGTGTCAAAATATCAACGTCTTTGAAATTTGGTGTATGCCCCGTGATTGTGCAATGTCCTGCAAGAGCCGTCTTTTGTTCTAATGGCTTGTCTGTATTTTGATCTGACTTATGACCAGAAAGTCTTGTCTTTAGTTTGGTTTTTGTTGTACCAACATATACCTTTTGGCATAAGTTGGTTTTGTCCCCGTTACATTTTATCTTATATACTACATTGCACTTGTCTTCTTTTTTTATTTTCGATTTTGTCTTGCTAAATAGGCTATTGATATTATTTTTAGATTTTAGGGCTAGTTGATAATTGGTTTTGTCATATATATTTGAATTGCTCAATATCTCGGAAAGTTCTGGTATATATGTCATTGGCTTGTACGATTTTTCTTCTTTTTCAATTTTAGCTTTATTTTTCGACTTGCAGGATTGTAGTAGTTCGTAAATTGTTCTTAATGGGAAACCATTTTTCATTAATATGTATCGTATCTTTTTTTCATTTGCTTGGTGAAATTGTCCGTCGCTTATGTTAAATAATTTTATTATTTACACAATAATAAATTGTCGAAAATATGCCCATATATTTTTAAAGGGACGAGATCATAAAAACGAACTATAGGAACTAAAGAAATTGACCTATTTTCTGTCGTTCCTTTTTCGGAATAGTTCCAATGAACTAGTTCATTTCAGAACTACCAAATTCTAACCAAAACCCTCCGACTGTGTTTATACTTTCATTATGTTGAGGAATACTATGAATTGGCTTCAATGAGACTTTATTCTTTAAATACTATGTATAAAAATTACTAAAAAAAACTCCTCAAACTACAATAATTATTCGATTTTAATAATTCTGAAAATTATAACCTCTCTAACAGCCTTCAGTTTAAACTTCATATATATGTTGCATATATTTCAAAATGACTTCTAAAAGTTTTCATTGGCACAATACTTCATATCTAGTTTCCTTTTCGTGTTACGGGTAAATGGACTATCAAGATGTCTTTACCGGTAGCATATACATAATGGATATGTTACTTCTATTGTATGGCAAATGATTAGAAAAGGACCTTTCAAGTATCAAACTGGCGTAAAAAAGGTTGCATGGCTTAAGGAAGCCGTAAGGCAAGTAAAGCTTTTAGCCATCATCAACTTCACAGACACAGTCAATGTGAATTTCATATGCTACTGACCCAGTAACAGCACTAGAAAACATAAAACCCTGTATAATATCCCCTAGTCCTTGAAGGACGAATACAATAATATTTCAAGATGAAAAACATAGAAAATTCAACTTGATTTGAAATTTAAAATAACTAACGTTTTGAATTTTTTTGAGAGTTCGAATAGCTTTCTTCAAAAAGGAAGAGAGAGAGTGCTGTATAAAAGCTTGTTTGCAGCAAGAGAGAAAATTCTTGTTATTGACAAATATCCTGTCATGCGCATTTGCCACAAGTGATAAGAAAGTTTTTTCCTTTTCTCAAATAAGTCACGTGCTAAACTATGAAATGTTTGACTCTACATTCGATATTTTACACTACAAACAAATGTTACGCGAAAGTAACGCAGAATCCCAGTGCACATTCGCCTCCCTAACCCACCTCAATAACAAACCAACAAAGAATGTATCCACCCAGTGTGTGCAAGAAAACACAGTGGAACGAGGGTTTAAAAAAGAAGTAAAAATAATATACAAAATTAACATATCGCTCATTTGCTGCAAGACAGACATAACTCAAAACCCGATTTTGTAGAAATTCGTTCGTTTTAAGTTTTCAATTTACTCACACTTTATATGCGACAGAGGAACTTCTACAGCTTCTCAATTAGAATGTGTAAGAGATATTCATATGCATTTTTTATACAACATGAGGTCTATTATAGCGAACAATCGTGCACCACTAACTCGAAGAACACGTTTTTGAGTTAAGCCTCTCTTGGAGCAAATGAACGATATATTAATGCCTAGCGGGTATGGGTTTTTAAAGACATGAATGCAGAAAAAATATTCGATCAATTCGGAATATTTTTTCATAATATTTCTGAAATACTATTAACGTATTCATAATAGACCTGTGTAAATTCATTTTAGAAGCGGTTCGCTTTTTTTGGTTTCACCACGCTAAATGAACTAGGTCACTCGTTTAGTTCCATTGTTTGTTTTAGTTCAATCGTTCATCTAGATGAATGATTGGGTCGTACGAACTAGGTGAAGTGAAATAAATATGGTCGACTGGAACAAACGAAACTAGATGAACAAAAAAACCGAAACTAATACCTATCAATCCTTTTGCAGAATAGTTCCTTTGAACTAGTTCGTTTCGGACCAATGCAATTCTAATTGCTTTAAAGCATACAAGAGCAGGTCAATAATTCCAGTCTTTAAAAATAAAGTTCATATCGTATAATATCCTTAGACTTGAAAATAATCACCGGGTTCTAAATCTAGGCTGATAAAGATTCCAATTCATGCATGCTTTAATCTATCGTCTTTTTATATGGCATCTTTGCCATTGTAAATTTTTCGTAGGAACATTTGAAACACAATAATAAAATAAATCGTGTCTAAAATACCCAATAATGGGGGGTAACCGAGG